CTCGCCGTGCGCCACAGCCTTGTGATGTGACGTAATATGACAAACCTTAAGATTAATAAAAATGGTCATGATAATATTTTTTTTAAATATTACATTAGAAAGTTCGTCTATGATGATGAATTTTCTCTATATTTCTCTTTTCTTAAAATAGCTGTTTTAGGAACTTTTTTCCGGAATTCTTTCCACCATCTAAGGAAAGGCGCCTCCCCCTCCCCCTGGCAGAATTCACTAGTGCTAGTCATGATAATATTTTTTTGTTTCTATTACATTAGGAAATTCGCCTATGAGGATGAATTTTCACTATATTTCTCTTTTCTTTAAATAGGTGTTTTTTGAAACTTTTTTCCACCGTCCAAGGGAGGGCCGTGTCCCCTGGCAGAATTCGCTAATGCTGGTCACGATAATTTTTTTTCCACATTAAATTAGGAATTCGTCTATGACGATGAATTCTCGCTATAGTTCTTTTTCTTTAAATAACTTTTTCAGAATCTTTTTATCCATCCAAGGTAGGGCGCGCCCATAACATAATTCGCTAGAAATACTGACCCTTTATTAAATAAAATGTGTTTAATCAATTTACACATACAATAGCTAGGTAACGCTGTTTTGAGCGAACGGCTGGATAAATTTTTAAGTTTGATTGCTAAGTATTTGGTGAGATTTCTTGAGTGTTTTGAAACAATTTGAGTTAAAACTACTGAACCGTGATTAAATAAAATGTGTTTTATCGATTCGCTAAAGCTGGTCCCTATAATATATTTTTTTTATATTACATTAGCAAATTATTCTATGAGAATGAATTTTCTCTATATTTCTCTTTTCTTTAAATAAGTGTTTTTGGAACTTTTTTTCGGAATTTTTTTTCACCATCCAAAGGAGGGCGCGCTCATAAAAGAATTCGCTAGTGTCCGTCACGATAATCTTTGTTTCTATTACATTAGGAATTCATCTATGAGGATGAATTTTCCCTATATTTCTCTTTACTAGGTTTTTTTCGTAACTTTTTTCCACAATCCAGGAGAGGGCGCGCCCTTAACATAATTCGCTAGCAACACTGACCCTTTATTAAACAAAATGTTTTTACACATGCAACATACAAAAGCTTTGTAACGCTCTTTTGATTGCTCAAAGTATTTGGTGAGATTTCTTGAATGCTTTGACACAATTTGAGTTAAAACTACTGAACCGTGATTAAATAAAATGTGTTTTATCGATTCGCTAAAAGATATGTAACGCCGAAACCGGGCAAGAAAATTTGAAAACGGCGTGCATCAGGGAGGAGTACTTTCCTCTCTGCTTTTCCTAATATTTATAAACGATATTATTCAAGACTTACCAAATAATGTCAAAGCGTCCCTGTTCGCAGACGAGATCGCTCTTTGGAGTAGATCATCGTTCATTGTCACAGCAAAGAACCTAATGCAAATGGCTCTCGACAATCTGCCCTAACCAAAAAATGGGTCATGACTATTAATCGGTCCAAGACTAAATATTTAATCATTAGCCTCTCAACAAACATACTAGTTGCCCATAACTTAAATCTTAATCAAGGATAACCAAGGATAAAATTCTCACTTAAGTTATTAAGTTTGACCAAAGACTTACATGAAAACTTCATATCAAGCAGTCTATTCGTAAGGGAACGACAAGAACTGCTCTTATGAGGACAATACCCGGCTCTAACTGGGGCGCAGACATGACAAAAAAAATGTCATTATATACTGGATAAGTTAGGCCTTCCTTGGAGTATGGAATTACCAGCTGGAGGAACACTGTAGCCTCGAACCTATAGAGGATCTCAATTGTGCAAAACCAGAGGATAAGAATTATAACCGGGGCAATGAAGTCAACGCCTATTGAAAAAATGGAGTCAAGAAACTTCCCGCGATAAAGGATATGAGAGATGTGAAAGCAAAATCCGTTCAAAATCATCCCTTTCAGAAAAAGGTGAAAGAAATGAATATGAACAGGCTAAAACGGCAAAGCATACCCCACACAACTACAAAACTGTTTTCTGAATAAAAGCAAGTGTCTGTAGAACGGTCAACATCAGTAGAAGATAAACCTCTCTGGTTTGAATCTCCGAAACCACAAATTGTTCTCTCCATTCCTGGTATCAAAAGGAAGCAGAATATTCCCCAGGACCTCTTGAAATCAGTTTCGCTTCAACAATCAAATACTAAGTACCCGAAAGAGTCGTGGACTCGAGTATATACGGACGAATAGACCACAAATGCAACGGTGGGGCCGGTATCCATTTACAATTTTCTGCGGAGAATATTATTGAGAAGGATGTTCCAACAGGCATCAGTTCTTCGAATTATCTGGCAGAACAAGAAGCTATCTGAGAGGTAACAATACTAAAGAGACCTAAAAACTCAAAAATTGTGTTCCTAACTGATGCAGCTTCAGTATTACAGTCACTCAGGTCGAAATGGAGCAAAAGCCTGATAAAACTTGACAAAGATCTTGAAGACTTGATGTCCCTTCACAAGAAAGTTGTCCTGTAATAGATACCTAGGCACTGTGGTATCTACGGAAACGCAAGGGCAGACCAGCTGACAAAGGAGGGGGCCTTGAGTGCGCAATTTGATTGTAAGATCGGCCTAGACGAGGTAAAAACAATCAGTGAAGCGATTATTAACCAACCTTGGCTTAGAAGTCATCCACTTCACGACCCCAGAGATGCGATCTATTGACTAACTCAACGAGATCGGGTCATGATCTTTTGCTTACGAACTGCACTCAACAGACTCAAAGCTCACCTATTCAGTTGATGCACGGGCGGATCTACGAAGGAAGGGGGCAGCTTCCATCTAAAACCTCCCAAAATGGTACAATTTAACCATGTCTTATTTAAAATTATCGCTAAAAGTATTATTGTTCATCTAATTATATTTTAGTGGGCGGGGTAGCCGAATGGGCTAAAGCGTGTGCACTGCACCGCCGTTGCCTGGCAACCTGACATATGAATTAAAGATATAAAAATAGTCACGAGTTCGCGTCCCGGTGCTGAAGGAGTCTTTTAAATCCCCGCCCACACTCCCTGGCCCGGGAAAATCCCGTATAGCCTTAACGGCGAGGAAGGGAAGGACCAAAAAAAAAAAAAAAAAAAAAAAAAAAAAAAAAAAAAAAAAAAAAAAAAAAAAAAAAAAAAAAATAAAAAAAAAATCTAATTATATTTAATAGGACTTAGAATCACTTAAAACACCTTTGTAAAGGTAATTAAACTTTTAGGTAAAACTTTTGTACAGGTAATTATTTTCCTGTTCTTCCAAAGTAATTATGTTTTTTTTTTCTCCCCTTCCTAGCCCCTTCCTAGGTTAGACTCGTTTTTTCCCTGGCCGGGGGTGAGGGTGGAGGAATTATGCCGGGTTAAAAGGAAGGTAAAAAGGACTCGTAATTATTTTTGTATCACTAACTTTGGTTATCAGGTTACCGAACAACGCGCGTTGCTGTGCATACCCGTTAGTTCGCTCGGCCACCCTACTGCCACACACCTCCGAATTATTGTTGTGTATATATATATATATATATATATATATATATATATATATATATATATATATATATAGGTTTCGGGCTGTAGTTTCCAAAACTATAACATGGATCCTCTAGTGGATTAATGGATTGTGCTTTACTGCTATAGGCTGCAGCGCACAAGAATAATGGATGATGAATTACTTGAAAATGAGAGGAATGTCGGGCTTGCAGATTCATTGTCAATGAACTCGGTGGATATATCGAGGTGTTCAATAAATTCGTCAATAGGATCGTGGTTGTGTAGTCTTAATCAGTGGAATGGGCATTTAAATCTCTATATAGTGTGCTTTTCTTATTCCATGATATTTGCAACCATGCCACATCGGGTTTGTTTTTAGGTGGATTGTGTATGACGAAAATGTTTTCTTTAATGGGACCTCTCTGAAGGCACAGTTTAATAGTTTCACATTTATTCTGTTCAATTAGTTCCTTCCTTGTCAAAAATCGGGTGCTAATTGTGGTCAGCAACAAGGATTCCAGAGGCAAACTGCCTGGCATGGATAAGCGAAAATATTTGATAACAGGAGATCTGAAAAAACTGAAGGTTGTAACACGGTGCTTCAGCCTCAACTATTCTACAGGTATCCGTATCGATGTTATTCATAATTCGTGTTCAAAAGGTAATTTCGATTCGGAAAACTTTGAAACAATTATTAAGCCGCAATTCCAGAAAATGGCTTTCATTTTGGCGTTGTTATAGCCTTTAGAAAGGCTGTTTTCATTTGGCCGAGGTTGTACTGGTCGATCCACAATGTCGCTCAGTTGGGGCTGTTATAGTGGCGACAACTGTGATCATTTAGAACATCTGAGGCTAACCAAGGGGCACCTGGCCCGCTAAAAACTCGTATTCGAATGGCGAGGAAGTTCAGGAAAAAAAAAAGATCAAGCAATTTGACGTTGTAACTTAAATTCTCTGATTGACTCATCCTCCTTTGTCTATATATTAATTACAGTAAATAAAATGTACACCACTTTCCTCAAAGCCAATTTTTATGAAGAAAGAAAGGCTAAGGATACAAAAAGAAAAAAAAAGTTCGACATAAAATGCTGGGCTTTTACGCTTTTTAGACGTTAGAGGAAAACCAATTTTCGGAAAGTTCAGATTTTAGATAGTACATATATCGAAAATTGTATCAGAAACGGAAAAAATAATTTGGGATATTATGAAAGAAAACTTTGTCAGCTGTAATTTTGTATTGGACCGATTTTTCTTAACACTTACCTTTTTTGGAATGTATGTGAAAAACCGAAAAAGTACCTTACTAGCGTCCCACCCACCATAAACAACAGTTATACATAAATATTTTATTAAAAGAAATTCTCAGCTATGGGTTGGATAAGGTGTGATATCAAAACGCGTTATTGATATTTTTCATTTGGCATCACAGTAATACAGAATTCCTTGTATTATAAGTATCCTTGCACGGCACTACAAAATATCTAAAGGAAAATCTCTCTCTCTCTCTCTCTATATATATCGATATCAACATGTGGTTATCTCCAGGTTATAGATGTTAAGGTTATAAACTAACAGTCAAGAGTATTCAAACCGGCAGGTTTTTATATTTTTATTTAAAATGATCGCAAGTGATAAGCTCTGGGAGAAAATATGTGCTGTATTTCCAATTTTATCAGAAAATGTTAGTATCTCAAATTTGTCATTAACCTTTATCCTACAATTTAAACTTTCTCAAAATATTTATGCATTTCAGAATCAAGTTCCTTCAGAAGGTCCAGAAGTAGATGACTTTAAATCTGTGATTAAAGGAATAGAAGTGGAAGATCATACATTCATTGAAAGCTTAGTGATAAACAAAATTGAAGAAGATATGAGAGAAAATGTCGCTCCTGCTTTTTGGTCTGAATTTTATTTCTTGGAAGATGATCCTGAAAAAAATTTTATAAGATTTAAAAATGCAGTTGCTGAACTTAATGCGAAGTACTTGTCCTATTTGCCTACTATGCATAGACTAGAGGAGATGAGATTAATTTTGAACTATGATGAACCTATCTATGGGGAAACAAATCTTTTAGTGATATTAAAATTGATAATTCGTACTGTTTTACATTCACAATTGCCAATCCCTAAATATCAAACTGTAATAGAAGAATTTTATAAGTTATCATTCAAAGTTTTTTATAATGCTGACAAATCCAGTCGAGGTAATTATACTGTATTGAGCAGAACATTTGTATACAGATGAAGTAAATTTATCTCCCATTATAAGCATTTTTTTTTGCTACTTTTTGAAGTGTTGAAATGTTTGAAGTTGTAACCCCCTTATCACCTAATTATTTTGTGTTGATGCATGCTATTAACTATTTGATTATTGTTACCACCACTAGTTAAAATAATTCTAGTTCCCTTTTGCTACTTCAAGATGGCAGCTGGTATCAAGATCATCTAGAGCACAATATTCCCGGATTTCCTATGAATGCTGAAAGTAGCCAAGTCTTCACCAGGTCTTGTGCTCTTGGAGATGTTGAGTAGGTTTTCTTCACTGGCGACAGTGTCCTCTCATCTGAGATGAGGTCTTCCTCTTCCTCTTATCCGGTGGAGCCTCCCATCACGCAGTTTCCTGGGTATTTCTATTTCTGGTATGCATGCAACGTGGCCAGTCTACCGCATTTTTACCAACCTAATTATGTCATTTGTCATTCTCACGATAAAGTTGGTAAATTTTGTTATTTATCCTGTCTCCAGTCTTCTCCAATCCTTACCGGTCCAAATATTAGTCGCAGAATTTTTCTTTCTTATGTAACAATTTCTCTCTCCTCATTACTTGTCCAGGTCTCTGATCCATATGTTAGATCAGGCTTTAGAAGAGATTTATATAAGAGGCACTAAGTGCAGAAGGATTTGTAAGAACTTTCAAAGGCTTTCTAAGACCAAAATAGCACCTGTTGGCTTTGATGAGTCACTGACTGGTTTCTATGAAGATTCTGTTTCCACAACTCACCACTGGTCACCCGAGGTACACAAACTGGTCGACATTTAAGAGTTTCAGAGGATATCAAAAATGAATCTAACTTGTTTTTTCATAATAAACATTCACTTAGCCTACCTTAGTGTAAGCGCCTTTTGTTTTTTGAAATTTATGGCACATTATAACTCATTTAACACAATAGTCGATCATTTTTTCTTATCCTGCAAAAATAAATTGATTGATATATAATAACCAAAGTGAAGGTAATAATAAATAATATCTATCAATTTTTAATGTTGAAGAAATTGTTGACTGCAGACTATATGATTAGGGTTGCAGTCACAGAAAACAGAGAGACCTCTGATGAAGGCCTGAAAGAAAGGCTGAAACTTATATACTCACAAAATGTATATATACTTGTTTATATATATATTTAAATATTTTCAGGAATCTAGGAGCAGCATGCTCTGCTTAAAACCAGCTGCTATCATGGATTACTAAAAGGGGACTAGTGCTGTTAAGATATTATTTGCATTTATTATATGTATTTTTATAATGATACTTATTATTCCTGTTCATTTTTACTATTCTTATGTGTTTTTTATTTAATATTTTTTAATTTTTTTATTATAGGATTGCCTTTGTGTGATTTAAATGAATCTGGCGAAGATGAGCGTTGTGGTGGTTGTTATGAAATCGAACAGTGTCGTTGTGATGCCATAATTAATGATTTTCATACCACTAACAGGTTATAAAATTTTGTTAGTATTTTCTACTTGAAAAATATTGTAACTGCTTAACATGTATTCCACTACTTTGATGGGTGGGTACAAAATCTGATGAGCATACTATAAATGAAACTCTGATAATTCATTTAATCATCCGTATAACCTCCATTTATTTTTATAGCAATTTAGTACATTCTGCAAACTCCCAGCTGGTCTTTTTCAATTTACAGTTGGGTCAAAATTAGTTTTAATTAGATCATTACTTTCAACTTTCACTAGCTATGCTTCCTCAAAAGGGATAAATGAATCCCCCAATGGCTCTATTCAGTTGAGGTTGTGGCCTAAAAAAAAAGGATTAAAAAAAAATCATGAATTATTAATATTTTTTGAAGATCTAAACTAAACATAGTTTAAGCTCTTAAAAATCCCATTTTTTCTTACTTTTCTGCAGAAAATTTGTTATTTTTTTCTAGCTCTCGAGGTCTGTTATCATTTCTTTAGATATTTCCCTTTACTATGGGTCACCCTCTATATGGTTATATGTGTTTTCTAAGGTTTATGAGATTTAGTCAACTAATAAATAACTATATTTGAGACTTTATTTGTTTTTTATTCATGCCAATTGTTGAAAATTAATAAAAAGTGTACATTGAGAACTAAATAAACATTAAACTAACATTAGTTGATCAGATGCGTCTGGTAAACAGCAAAATACACTGAAGATGTTTTAGGATAATACTATATGATCTTAAAACTTATTCACTGTAGTTTACATAAAATGTATTTGATGAAACAAGAAGAACAATCACTTAAGAAAAAAGTTCCTCTCCATTGAAACCTTCAGTTTAATTTAACTGAATTATTTTACGAATACAATATTTTTTAAACTATTTTAAGGAAACTTCAAGTACTTCAGCAAAAACAATCTATAATTTTATTGTCTTTCCTGATAGATATAAAAAGCTGTCCTTACACCCCTATTCTACCACTGTTCTCCCTCTCTTTGCTTTCTTTGCTGAATTTAGGAACTTACCCAGGACATCTCACAGTACAGGCTTAGTAGGTGGAGACAGCAATACCATAGGGAAAAGATGGAATTACTAAATCTGTTTTATTTAAACATCTTTCCAAAACAGAAGCTGTTTAATATAAACTGATACAGTCTTCTTGTAACAGATACAGAAAACTGTTCAATTTAAACCGCTTCTTGCAACAGATAGAGAAACATTTCTCTGTAACAGATACAGTCCGCTGTAACAGATACATTCCTCCGAAATAGAAACAGCAATAGCTTCTTCCTGCAATAGCTCTACTTTAAACTGTTTTGATAGATGTTCAATGAAACTCTAGCCATTACATTGTTGCAGCCTATTAAATAGCTAAGCAGTTTCTGTTCAATGAACAATTCTATCAACTCATTTTCTTTTCTATGACCTCATTTTCATTCTAATTACTATTTTCTCGTTATTTTCAACAATAAATATATACACAAGTACATGTATACCTTAATGTTTTCACTCCATTCTATAGTGATATTTATAGTTAATAGGATATTTACATTGAATCGATGAATCATTAATTAAAACTTGATAAATTTTATTATTGCCAAACCTTCATGAATCTCTTCTTGTTAAAATTTGTCAATGATTGGTCCAGTAATTTTCCTGGTTAGTGGTTCCAAATGGTGTTTTTTTTTTTCTTTTTCGTTTTTTAAATATCATGTCATAAAGGTGCTTTTATTTTTAAAGAAGGAAATCCTGATCATGTAAACTTAACAGGTATTGTCTCATTACATTGCATAAGTAAGATTTTCACTCAAATCTTTAATTTTTTATCACGCAACAGCTATTTTAACATTTAACATAATATAATCTGTTCTGAAAGTATTGGTTGTTTTAGGATTCTTATCCAATTAGAATTACTAGAGAGGTTAGCCGGTGAGGTTTTAACATCTCTCATTCATAAACAAATAGAAAATCACGTTCAAGAAACTTGTAAGGGCAGCTTTAATCAATCTTTTATCAGCCCACTGGAGAAGGTTAGTATTAATTACTGTAATACAAAAGAAACTGGTGGTAAAAAAAAAACTGGCGTACTTTGAATTTTATGCAAAAACTGCAGATTAAAGAAATATTTTTAAGCCTGAAGTAATGACAAGTCAAAGGGGGTTACCATGCATTAATACTGTCAAGAAAATCTCATGATTCTCTCTAGGATTAACTATAAAAGTATTACAACAAAATGTGGTCTCCATTTGCCTGTTTAATCGCATTGGTTTTGCTTTTGTGTTTTTTTTTTAAACAATATTTCATTTGTATCAAACATTTTTAAGAGTGTAAAATCCCATGGAAATCGCTCAGATTACTACATTAATTGAAAACAGCCGAAGCCAGCGATACATGGCCTGAGTCCACAGGGAGCCTGAAACAACGGTTCTGTGAGCTTTCCAGAGTTACGAGGAGACTCTGATCAGCTATTTGCCATGAACATGTTGCCTGGACAGAACATGATTTGGCCACTGTTCTGCTTTCTGATGAGTCCACATATAGTCTTTATGGTGCAGATATACGAGTTCAAATTTCAATAAGACCAGGTAATTAATATACTCATTCAAATATAGTGGAAAAGTGCAGTTTTATAGATGAGGGTCAGTGATGGTTCAGACTGGAATATGTTTAGTCAGGGTCAGACCTCCATATGTTCTGAAGGTTGGCGCTCAATGCACACACAAACATGAACATCCTGGAGGAATATGTATTACTTTTTGGCCTGTTTATCGTCCTCTATTTCCTTTTTATACAATAATGCTCGGCCGGACATTGAAAATGTTGTATGGGGATACCTAGACGAAATTAGTGTCTGCACCTTGAAATGGCCAACTCACAATCCGGATTTCAATCCTATTAAGTATCTTCGGGACCAGTTAAAGACAACCATCCATCGACAACAGAACCCTCCATGTGACCTCCAAGTATGTGAAATGAATCAGATTCAAGATCGGGTAATCACCTTAATCATAACATGCCTATGAGCGTAAAGACCGTTATTCAAGAAAAGGGAGGCAACACTAGGTATTAGAGACTAAGATTTTATTATTAAAAAAGAATTATAAACGTTTTATTTTTGTTAAAAAGTGTTCATTTGCTTTATTTTACATAACGATTTTTAAAATGAATTTTTGTTGTTGCTTTTGCTTCATTGCTATCGCACACTGTATTGAGGTAAAATAAATTGCAATTTTTTTTATGTTGGATATGAAATAACAAAATTTAAGGTGTGCCGGTTTTTATGACCACCACTATATCTAAACAGTATTATATATTATGATACACAACCTTATATTTATCTTTATACTGCACGAATTTTTTCTACTATAAGTGGCTAGATACTGTTGTGGTTGGATGGTTGACTCGCCTGTACTCAAGTGGTCCTGAAAGTCCTACATTAAAAGAGAAGTTAAATGTATTCAAGCAGAAGCTGAAACATCTTTTGTACGAAACATATACAAGGCTTAGGATTGATCAACTTTTCACAATCATCATTGGTAATTATTAATTTGGTTGAAATATATTTTAATTTATAAATTACGTAATTTAAAATTTGTTTTATATGAAAGATTATCCTGAATCCGAAGCCGCTGTTGATGATCTCCGCCTCTGCCTTGACAAAACAGATCTACGTGGTTATCTTGTCGAAAGGCTGCAGGCTGCACTCCAGCAGAGGCTGCTCCATCCCGGAGTTAATACTCCCGACATTATCACTGCCTACGTGCATTCCATCAGGGCTCTGAGGGGTTTGGATCCTTCCGGCCTTTTGTTGGATACTGTCACACATCCAGTTAGGTATTTGTGTGCATATTTTATATTTTGAGCCTTGAAAATCTGTATTAATGCACATAAAAAAATCCGGTGTGGTGCACGCATCACATAACTTTCATTTACCACCCTACTTTGAGTAGAAATAAGGGAAAATAACAATTTTAGACAGTACAAAATATTAATTTAAAACAATTAACTACCATAATTTTTCGATGCGTTTAATCCATTAAATTTATTTTTCATCTCTGTCCATTACTTCCTACATATATTTTTATTCTTTACTTAATTATGACAGCACCATAATTTTTTTTGTCTGACAAGAGTGATAAATGAGATCAATAAATTTATTTATATTTTGTTTTAAATATTTTTAATTGTTTAAGTATAGGCATTTATACTACTTTTATTTTGTATATTGATGTAACCTGTATAATTAACTATTAATTAATCTCAATTTTGAAAATCGCACATGTTTTTGTATATAGTCTTATCAGCGCTCCAATGTTCCTGCTATATGATATAGCATTATGCAGGTGTTTAGGGAAGCACTGTTCCTGGTGAAACAGAATGAGAAACCGTTCAAACTGGGGAATGGTTAGGAACATTTAGGGGTAATTTAAATCCACTCTAGGATGTATAATACATCCTCAAGAAGAAAAGTTGTGAAAGTGTATCATTATAAATTACGAATAGTCGTCTAGTTTTAAAATTTCCTAATTATTATGGGTGGTTTCAGTTAAAGAAACTTTTTTATTTCACATTGAAAACTTATAAATACCTAAATTCTCTTAACCGAATAAATAATTATCTTTCAAAGCCTTACTGGAATCTGAGACCTAGAGCATAGGAAGGCAGTGCTAAATAATTTAATATGTCACTTATTCTACTAAGCATACATTTTGTTTTAATAGTACATACAAATCAATACAATTATTTTTCTTTTAATTATTATTATACTGTTTCCTCACCTGCGTTGTTGAAAAAGTTATTTATTACCTGTGATGGATTCATGATAAAAATAATTTAAGTGGAGTAGATTATCAATCCACTGCCTCCTGACAGGCCACTAGTATCCAGGCTCTAGTGGTCTATCTAGTCCACCGAAAATGCATTTCCTGCCAGTGACGTGAGGAGTCTGAGCAACTATTGTTATCCTTGTGGACTGCCCATCATTGGGCTTATTCATTGCTCATTATAGAAGAGGATTCTGGTTCCAAACATCTGTACCCTATATCAATACACTATATATTTCAACACTTAATTCTTTACTTACTTTCATAAACATTTTATTTATAGTTTACCCAACAATACAAAATCATCTATATAGCCAATTTCATTACCCAAAGTTAAACATTTCTTGATATATTACTTTTACATAAATAATAAATTCTCTAAAGGTAAAATATCCAGTCAAAGAGCTTCCTTGTCAATAAAGATCAGACATTTTTCAAACATTAGCAATTCTATTAATTATATTTTAATAAAACTATTTAATAATACTCAGCAATAAGTGATTATATTATAAAGTAATTTTGATAGATTGGTAGTCACTGGAGTTAATAAAAAGTTTCTCTCATGCAGAAAAAAGGAGCCAGAAGCACTAATGGCATGATAAACTATAATTATGTATCAGAACTGATAATTAAATCAGATCTTTAAGAACAATCAACTGTAATTATATAATTTAATCTAAAACTTCAGAAACATTCACGTTTTATCTGGCAATGTTCAATTTTTTTTTTTTTTGGTTAGGCAATATCTTCGTTGCCGAGAGGATACTATGAGATGTGTGGTAATGAGTTTAACAGACGAAGGACCTGATGGTGATCTAGCAGATGAACTTGCAAGAGGAGAAGCAATCAAAGAAGATCTGGCAGAAAATTGGGAAACTTGGACACCACCCCACATCGATACTGTGGGTGAGGATCAAAGAAAACATAGTAACATACATTTCTGAAAAGTGTGTAACCATTAAAAATGGATTTTAATTGTGTTTCTAGTCAAGTCGAACAAAGAGAAACAATCGTGGGATATTATTTCAATGCTAGTTACAGTATATGGTAGTAAGGAAATGTTTGTTCATGAATACCGTAACCTTTTGGCTGACAGATTGTTGACACAGTATTCCTACAACACCGAGAAGGAAATACGGTATTTAGAATTACTGAAACTCAGGTAAACCCTTGTTCATTTCATTTTAACTTTATTTACAATTTAGAAAATAAATATGCTCAGTCATATCAGTATAACAATGCATAACCTGTGGAGAAGCAACTAATTATAGTACTTCAATGACAATTCTATTTCAGAAGGCTTAAGACAATTTCAATTTATTTTATTTTTTTATTTTTTTTTATTTATTTATTTTTTTTTTACTATTTTTTTTTTACTATTTGTTTATATTAACAGATATATTAGAACTTTTGTGTTTTATCCAAAATATAATTGTATACTACAATTTTTAGCAGTATTTTTCTAGAAAATAATAAGTTATTACTCTGTATTGAGTGTCATCAGAGAGAGATGGGGGTGAAGTTTATATCTGTTTTAGAACACCTACAATATGATTATGAACTTTCTGATGATTACTGATGTATATATGTATATATAGTTGATCCAAATAATTCACTACTATATTGGTCAGTGAACTTATGAAAATAAGTAAATGTAATATATTTTGGAGGATTAATTTTTTTTTCTCAATCAATTACAATTATAATAGTCCAATTCTATTTTTTTTTTTCATTTTGTTGAAAATATAGGAACTTTTAAAGTTATCACGGGTATAATCAACCATTAATTTTATACAATTTGAGTTGTGGGCAAATACAGTTTTCTTTTCTTCATAACTTTTTTTCTTTGACTTTCCCACAGAGATGGGCGAATGCTACCCTGAGTACCGAGTACCAAGTATTTTACTCAAATTGAATCAATATTGGTAATTCAATCACTTAGTCGGTTACCATCAATTGAAGTAGTAATTAAATTCTTTGGTACTCAAAAAAGGTCAGTATTTGAGTAAAATACTTGATGCTCAGTACTCAAAGTAGCATTTGTGCCCATCTCTGCTTTCCCAGGCATGTGCTTGTTATTCGGCAATGAAAGGGAAGATATTGTTCAAAATGATGGCTCAATCATTGAGTTTGATGAAGAATTAATCACAATATGACATACTGAAAAAAAGACAGTTTTGAAATAATATATTAAGATTTACCCCCTGCACTTTGGCTACTCCAGCACCCTTGTTGTTTTCTGGCAGAATAATACCATAAAAGTCTGGGTATTTTTGTTTTCATTTTTCAAGCCGTCTTTCATGATTTTTGAATTTTTATGCACCTCTGTAGCCCCTTCAAATATAGTTAAATTTTAATTTTTGTATGTAAATTAATAATTTTTTATGTATGTGAAGAGAGTTCTAATGCTTACTCTTTTCTTTTTTCGTTGCCTTTTATCGATTTTTTGAACATTTGTTAATTACAACATGATGTCATCCATGGCCGGAAGTAAGGAGGGACAGAGCAGCATTTTCCCTGGGCAGTAGAATTTAGAGAGTAGCAAATTTCAAGATCTTTTTCGAGAAGAAATGTTTCTTTCTAATTTTTTGTTGTTTTTGTCTTGATTTAGTCAATGACAAAACTTAGCTGAAGATGATATTCATTTTAAAATACATTTTGTAAAATACTGATACAAGATGTTCATATCCGATATATAGTGTCATTTATTTATGAGGAGGGGAAAAAGGTGAAAGAAAGAAGATGCGGGAAAATTTATGCTTGCCCCTCCTGCCACAAATCTTAGTTGCGGTCCTATTATTATTCATGGGTAATTTATAAAAACATTTGCTCTTGAAATCGTAGCTTAATAGGACTAAAAATATAATTTAATTTATTTCAGATTTGGAGATTCACAGTTACACTATTGTGAAGTCATGTTGAAAGACATTCATGATTCAAAGCGAATTAATACTCATTTACACTCAGAACCAAATTTTGGGCTTTCGAAACAGGTAATTTATCAAATGTGTAATTTTAGGGAATTAATTAAAATATAGATACCACAGGTACCTATATCCAAATGAGGAGGATAGTAGTCAATGGAAGAGAGGTTTCACCAACTACCTCTATTCCATCAACTCTATTCTACTCTAAAATTTATGCATTGTTTTATTAATAAGGAAAGTTTATCCGATATACTTCTCTAAATTTTTTTACCATTCAATTATTTGAAAATCTACTTTCTCTTTGATAGACAGTCCAATTTTTATATGTTATTTCTCTTTCATTTGTGTCTTAGGAAGCACAAACAACGATTCCAACTTGAAGGAATTTACACACACAATTATTCCCACATATCATCTTTTTCTGCCTATGTCTACTCTACTAGTAGGGAAACCAACCAGAGACCAGCAAATTTAGGAATTATTTTGTATTTATGTTCAGAAAAATGACCAGTTTTCAACACATTATTTCAGCTTAAAGATTTCTCATTCAATTACAGCTTCTATTTTCACCCAGAAATGTTTTCTTATATTCTATCTGAAAAATAAGACAACTAGGTTTGGTAATTAAAATTTGCCTCTTATTATCACTATCATTATCATTATTTTTTTGTCTTTTAGGGAATTTAGAAACCTTTTGAATTATCATAGATGTTATATCCATAAATTGTATACTTATTGTTGAGATATGCAGAAATTTTTTTTTTATCATTATCTTTTTCTTAATTTTTCTTTAGGTGTGTTTATTTTTAAGCACTGAAGAAGAAGATAATAATTATGGCTCAATTATTTTTCAACAAAAGAACATGTTTTGAGAAATAATATTTAAATATTTCTTCATATATTTTTTGTGCAAATGAACAAGATCTTCAATTACAAATATACTTTTATTTTTAGGAATTTCGTTGTACATGTATGATATTATCGGCCCAGTTTTGGCCACCTTTCAAAGAGGAAACACTTCAGTTACCACAGAAGATAAAGGACCACCTTGATGTCTACACTAAAGCTTTTGAAACCTTAAAGGTAGTTTTTTTTATTTTGTATTTATTCTGTGATAGTATAATTATATTATTAAGTTTAATTATGACATATTTACAGTTTAAGTTTCATGACTGTGATTTTACTCTATCTCTTGAAATTTGGTGAGAATACTCAAATAATTTCTGTGATTTTAATTTGATGAGAAACAGTAATGTCAATGGAAAAAAAACATGGTAATCCTCTTAATCATTATTTAGATAGTCTATACTAAATCATTGCAAGAAATAGAAAGGACTTCATTATTGATAGAAGATTGTATCACAAGAGATAAACGAATGATTGAGAAAATTAATGTAAATTTAGTATTGAAAAAAAATCTGGATTTGATTTTCAATCTGTGTTCATTGCCAAGTTTACTAGAAAAGCATTAAGGGGAGAGTTGATGTTTAGGTTTAAAAAGAATATATGTAAATAATAATCTTACATATTTTAATGGAAAATGGCTATGTGATACAAAATAGTTAAAAATACTACAAAACTTAAGTTTGTTTGGTTTTATTTGCTTGTGTACTCTATTTGTTTTTTTGTTTTTATTAAACTTTATCTGTTTCATTATTAATTTTTTTAAAAATCTTATTTTATTTTATTTTTTGTTATTGTCTTTTTACTTTCATTTATCTATATATGTATTATGAAGTATTGCAATCATGAACCATTTCGAAACTGAGTTTTTAACGGAAATACATGTTTTAAGGTCGTCTGAATCCAAATAACCAATTTCACAAAGTGGTGTGTGTATGTGAACAGCCTAGCTCAAAAAATGAAAAGTCGCATGAAAATGTTATTATGTATTTAAGGTAGATATGGCTGGGATGTTACAGCAACTTTTTTGTTTAGAACAGCTAACCGGAAGTGCCGATTTTTATTATTTTCTCAAAAACAGTTGTGACAGTTTTGATAAATCTTGGTATATCAATGTACAATTAAGTGGTCTTAAATACCAGTTAGGTCTTATCCTCCTCATTGATGTCACCTAACAGGGCTTAATTGCCCAATGCTCGAAATTTCTTCCTCTAAAGTGCCTAATTATAGTAATTTGATTTATTTAAATAATTAACTATCTCTCATTGTTAATAAAAAAAGGCCCAATAACAATGAAAAAATTTCACAATTGACTTAAAGGAGAAAAAATGTTGTTTTTTTAAGGTTGAAAATGAATTTCCAAAAATAATAATCAGAATATATGCATATACAATATTGTTGCAAAGCTGAGGACTTTTGAAAGAATAATATATAACATACAAAGTTGTAGAAAACAATGGAAAATCACAAAAATATTATAAATAATAATATCTAAAAACTAATATTATTTTACAGAAACCTATGGAAACTAAATGAAATTTCCTATGTACAACTAAAATTTTAAAATTATTTTTAAGCTTGAAAAAAAAGTATATATAATTTACTGAATAGAGGCAATGAAATTGTTTAAAAAAGTACTTTATGCTACTTGTTTTAAAGAAAAAATGAAATACAATAATATTTTCTGGAAGGAAACATACCTTTATAACCTCAAATGCATTGACAATAGTTTAATATATATTGTCTGTTTATTAAAAAAAATCATTAAATTACACTTCAAAAGATTAAATTAGTGAATAATTTGATGAATATTCCCTCTGTAAAATCACAGCATTATCCATTTACAATTTGTGTGGGAACTTTTTACCAATCGATATTAGACCATAAAAAGCTTGTAACTCGATTTTGGAAAATTTTACAGGGGGAAAAAAAGAGTTTAAGTACAATAAAAAGTGATAGAAATTTAGTTCCTATAATTTTTAATGCGTGGTACAATCCTTATTTATAGATTAAAAATATAAATGAACTACTAAATTTCTTTTTGTATGTAGAGCTGGTTCAAATAGACTGATAGAGTACTGAGGTCTTTATTGCCTATTGTTGATATAATAAATAGGGCTTGTGTTATTTTGATGGTCTTAAAGAATTTTCGCATTGATAAATACGGCTGAAATTCAGATATGTATTTTTTAATTATTTATTTTTGTGTATTTTGAGTTTTAATTGCACATTTCAAGGTGTGATATTATTATTATTATATTAAGTATTATTTCATTCTCCTGGAAAATTGCTTGCTCACTTTATCATTTTTCTTTGTCTATTTTATTTAAACTAGACAGCAAAAAAGTAGGTGCACCCTATATTTTGTTGTTTTTAGCTTTTAGTTATTTAGCTCGAATTAGTTGATGTTTTTTTTGGGTGTGCCAAGTTGAACTCATATCCCATGAGTGAATAGCAGGGTGCAGATTAAAAAAAAAGAGAAAATACCCATAAAAAAAAAAACTTTATTTACAAATCCTGAATATTGTGAAAAATTAATTTGATTCTTCTTCTTAAAAAATTGGTGCAAAGTTAACGATAAACTTTTTTAGTATCGTGTGTTGCCTCCCCTTGCTTGTATCACCGCCTGCATTCTTCTTGGCATGCTGCTGATTAAATTGGAAACCTTTTCCTGTCCGATTTGGTCCCATTCTGCTACCACTGCGGTCCTGAGGCCTTGTAGGTCCAAAGGAGGGTTTGGACGCCTTCGGATGCACCTCCCTAGCTCGTCCCATAGATGTTCAATTGGATTGAGGTCAGGGCTGCGGGCTGGCCACTGTAGGGTACGTATACCAACCTCTTCGAGGTAGTTAGTAACCACGTTTGCAACATGGGGCCGCACGTTATCGTGCATAAAAATGAAATTTTCACCGATGAATGGGGCGAATGGGACTACATAATCTTCCAGAATGTCAGAAATGTACCTGAGTGCAGTTAGGTTCCCTCTTGGAAAAACATGGAGGTCGGTTTTTGCTCCTGAAGTGATTCCGCCCCAAACCATTACAGACCCACCACCGTAAGGCACCCTTTCAGAAATATTGCACTGTGCAAAATGCTGTCCCGGCCTTCTCCACACTCTAACACGGCGATCTGAAGAAAATAATGAGAACCTGGACTCATCTGAAAACATTACTTGCCCCCAATCGTCTTCTGACCAAGCTGCATGTTCCCAAGCAAATGTAAGACAATCTGTACGATGTACTGTGGTGAGTTGAACCGCAGTAGCTGGGGCCCTCGTTTGAAGGTTAACTTCAGCCAGTCGCCTACGCACTGTATCAACATTAACATTCACATTTCGGGCAATTCGAAGGCGCTGAGTGGTTTCTACAGCCGTCTGAAAGTGGTTTCGCAGAGCATGCATCGTAATAAATCGGTCGTCTGTGGGCACTGCCGCTCTCGGTCGGCCTGATCCTGGTCTCCTCTGGAAGCTACCAGTCTCCCTGTACCTTTGGACTGCCCTACGAACAGTAGTTTCTGGTAGCCCTAACGTTCTAGCCACATAACGTTGACTTCTCCCATCTTCTACCAACCCAACTATCTGGGCGACTGTTTCGGTGGTTAGAACCATTCCTCAGAACCGAACAAGCACAAAAAAATCAAACAAATGAGTTGAAAATAAAACAAACACAAATGTGATCTTAGCGCGAACAACAACTGAATAAACGACAAGTGATGAACTGAGGGAAGAACAGCAAATGCAACACTAAGAGATAAACAGGGTCAAAGGTACACATATTCAAATGGACCTTGAGGTAATCATACTGTGTTATTGTTATGAAAGACTATACTAACCATCTCGAAACAACAATTTATTTAAAACAAACATTAGACCTGGATTTCTACACAAACACGAGGTGTGCCAGTTTTTTTGCTGTCTAGTTTATTTTGGCCAAACTATTGTTCTATATCAGAGAAGGGTAATCTTTAATTAAAACAACAAAGTTTGCTAGACTCTTTTTATTTTTTAAATAATAAGTAATTTTTGTCCTGATTCTGCTCTCATCTCTGAAAAGAATGGACTTTCCTATTTCTTATTATTATTAATTATTTTTATGGAGAAGTTTTAGTAAATAAATTAATTTATTTTTCATTTCTTAATATTGAAAATTCTTTTATTTAAAAAAATTTTTTTTTTAGGGTAATAGGACATTGAACTGGAAGCCTCATTTGGGATCAGTCAGCCTTGAAATAGAGCTGAAGAACCGAACATTGAACCTTACTGTCTCACCAACTCAAGCAGCAATTATATGGTACTTTCAAGATAAAAGTAAGCACAACTTAAATCCGCTTTTCATAGAACAACTTATGACGTTTTTGCCTCTATGCAATTTATGGTAAATTTAAAATTTTTCAGTTCAGTGGACTATTGACGAATTAAGCTCTATTCTGCTCATTCCACCAACAATTCTTAGGAGGAGAATTGCTTTTTGGCAGTCTCAGGTATTTTATTTTAACAAAAAAATAATTATGATTTTCTATCATGATTCAGTACTTGTTTTATTGTTTATAAGAAACATTAGCTTAAAATATATTATTTATTTATCAAAAATGTTTTTTTCATTGAGTTTGGGTGAAGATAATAGAGTAAAAATCTTTCCCTAGAACTTGATACTAAACTAGCCTTGTCTTTTCTGTAGCTGATAGTGCCATAGGTTTTTTTCTGCTGATATTAACAACATTCCTAATTCCTTTGACCTCTCACAATACCGTATTTATGCTGATGACCTCCAAATTTACTAATCCTTTTACTCTACTGAGATATTTTAAGTTATAAGGAGATTTAGATAGGATCAATGCAGGGCCTATAAGCAATCATGTGAGACTGAATGTTGAAAAAAAAACCAAAGCTGTCCTCAGTACTTCTTAATTTCCTTTCTTATCATCTATTCATCTCAGCTTACCTGTTTATCTACATCAGGGTCCAAACTAGGGCCCACAGGCCTGATCCGGCCCTCAAGCACCTCCAATCCGGCCGCAAAATTTTCATTGATAACATGGTGAAATTTAAAAAATATGAAATTCACCAATTACTCACACATGAGGCTACTACAGCATTTATCAAATTGGTTTTTGTCTTTTAGAAACGCCATTTTACAATTGAAGTGTCATTTATAGAACAAGATGGTTTTTTTTTCACCACAAGCCGGACTTGAGTAAAGGTCTCAACACAGCCCCGAGACATAGAGGAGGTCTCAGTGTAGCCTGTAGCCCAAAAAGTTTGGAGACCTCTGATCTACATCAGTAAACCTATCCACTTCCAAACCTCTGTTTAAAAAATTGGAATAATTTTTGAACGTTTATTCTAGAATTTTCATATCTCCCAAATTGCCCAAAAATCCATTTCTATCCTTTAATGATTCCTTTAATTTTTTGATTCTGTGTCTCTAAAAAATCGCCAGCTTCTAGTCTCCTCTCTCATTTTGTTTGCCTGGTATATGGTGGACTCTCTGATAGGTGCAAGGTGATACTGAAGAGATTATTGAGTTGTTTTATTGAAATTATGTTAGATTTTTTAATATAACCACTTCTTAATTTATTATTCAGAAACTAAACGTTTGTGAAGTTGTAAATTGTATATTCTTCTAAGGACACTAGGTATCCATTAATGTTATTTACTTTCATTCGTTCGATCATATGTGTTTTTAAAAAAACATAGATTTAATATTAGGCCCTATTATGCATGTACTCTCTGATCATAATAATTGTTCCTTAATAACATAATAATTAGAGTTTCAGATTAAAATATTTCAGAGTATTTTAAATGTATAAAGTGGTGTACTTCTCAAAACATTATGTCTGCTTATTCAACTTATAAGTATAAAGATATTTTGTTTTTAATATACTATACTTTACTGTAGGGCTTAATAAAGGAAACAACAACTGATACCTTCTGCCTAACTGAGGAACCAACTACTGGAAAGGGTTTGAAAGGTATACCCGATGTTTGTGAGGACGAGGAAACAGAGAGCATAACAGCTTCTGCCCATGATCAGAGGGAAGAAGAGTTACAGGTTTGTTGCATATAATTAACTTATCATGTTTTGATCAATTGAGTGATAGTTTCTAAGTTCAGTTTATTGAGACTGATGTTCTGTGAGAGCACCTTTTTGATTGGGACCTTCTCTGATTTCATAAGTATCCCTCGGATTTTTTAAAATTTGTTTCATGTATTAAATTAAGAATATTAATTTTATATCAAATTGAATTTGTGCTATTATGTTATAACTTTTAATACAAATATATTTCTTCTCCATATCATTGGCTCAATGAATAGCATGATCAACTACAACATTCTTAATAGGAAAACATTTTATAAATATTAATGATTAATAACTTATATATTTTTGCCACTAATAAAACATGTGTTTAGTAGATAAAAAAAAATTGATATAGCTCATATTACAGTAATATAAAAATCTGAATATTAAGACAAAATTGGCTGCAGTAACTCATTTCACTTTTACCTGGTTCTGGCATTGGTGGGGATAACTAAAGCAGAGGTGAGGAAACCATGGCTCTTGGATCATATCCTCTTTGAAGATATTAGTTTTGCTATTGCCAGGTGTGTAAATATGAAACTGGAATTCGTCCATAGATGGCTCTAGTTGTTCATGTAGTTACTGCTAAGTCACATTATTGACAACATTTTATTTCTTTGATATCCGGCAGATTTTAAAATCACAACTATACAATTTTCATATAATAGCATTATTTTAATAGTGTTGAGCATATCAAGTTTTTTGCCTACAAACCACGTTTTGCAGACAGCATTGGCTTTCTATAACCATTTAAACAAAACTTCTGCAGAATCGCATTGATTGCTTGTTGAAGCTTATAGTGAATCGAATCTCTTGGTAAATCACATTGTTTTGAGCGTTTTAAAATATCCAAGTGGCGATTTTGACATAAAAAATTATGAAAGTCGAAGACTAATGAAAAAATTTGAAGAAAGCAAATTACAAGCATTGTAGGATGAGGATGATATTCAAACCCCATAACTTCTTCTTCCTCTAACTCCTGTTTGCCGTCAAGTGTGGTGTTGCAGTCTTAGTCCATCCAGCCCTCTGGTCTCTGTCCCTGGCTAATCTTCTCATCTCTGGGATTGTGTGTACTCTTGCTGCTCCCAGTTTTCCAATATAATCAGAGTACGTGCACCTGAGTCTGCCACGAGGCCGTCTTCCTTCCGTCCTAGCTTCCAAAATCCATCTGGCTTTTCTTGTATCGTCCATTCTATAGGTGTATATATATATATATATATATATATATATATATATATAAATTGTTTTATCATTTTAGTTGCCGCTCTTGCATGGTGTCGCTCATTGATTTAACACCCAGATCCTCCCGAATTCTTTCATTTCTGACACAGTCCCTCCTGGTCTTACCAACTATTCTTTGGAGGAATCTCATTTCTGCTGATGTTATCCTACTTATGTGCTTGTCGAGGGATGTCCAGCTTTCTGATCCATATTAGTGTGTCCCATATCTTCTTCTTCTGGACTGAATCAAAATCCGCCCTTAGATCCAGGAATGCCAAGTTGACTGCCATTCCCCCGTCCCACGCTTTCTCTACTATCATTCTCAAGAAAAAATGTGGTCTTGGGTCTGTCTTTCATGTCTGAAAGCTACTTGCTCTTCTTCAATATCTTGTTCCACAATACCCCGCAGTCACTCCTCTAATATCCTAGTGTATATTTTGTACACTACTGAGGATAGACATATTGGCCTATGGTTACCACATTCACTTTGGTTACCTTTCTTGTGAATTGGGATTATGATGTTTTCCCATTCTCGTGGCAGCAACTTAAAGTCCCAAATCTTCTGGAACAGCATTTGAAGCCATTTAATCATTTCATTGCCTCCATATTTTATAAATTCCTGAGCTATGCCATCTGGTCCTGGAGCTTTTCCTAGCTGAGTTTTGTTGACTGCCAACTCCACCTTGTCTTCCCCGATCGCATTGTCCATATCTTCAGGATAAGTGTCATCTGTTCTACCTCTCCTTCTGCAGTCTCTGTATTTATGATGAAGATGTTCTTCCATCCTAAATTTTCTCTGGAAGAACTGCCTCCAGACCTCCAGCACTTCCTTTTCTTTGGTCACCAACTTCACATGGATGTCTTTAATGTTCCTGATCGGTTTTGACCTCTTACTCTCAGATCAATTTAATGTAATGTGAAAAGCTGTCTCCATACATTTGAAAACCATGGTAAAGAACTGAAAGATGGAAAAATGGGTTCACATGTACTGAATGAAAGACAACAAGAAAAACCCCAAACCAGCTCTTAAATGCTCCTCCCAATTTACAAAAAAAAGGCATTTCCCCATTGAGGAATGTAAAACACATGCCCATTGAACAGTATACATGAAAGCAGGAAATTTTATGTGGGAATCAATTGGTTCAGGAAAGTGTATCAGCCGAAGCTGAATAATTGTATAAGTAAAACAGGAGTGGCTTTTGATAGGAAGAGAGAGACAGAGAAAGAGGTTATGATTTGGTGGACTGAACACTTCTCTTGAACTGATTATTTGTTGAATGTTGAAATGAAGGAAGAGGCTGTTGAGGATGAAGAAGAGTGTCAAGTATGGTAATCATGATCGCTAGTGATGAATCTGTATCGGGTTTGCCATGATGGACTGTAAAGCCCCTGGTGAGGAGGGGATAGTTGCAGAATTAATTAAAAGTGGTTAAATGAAGGCCTTAATATATGAGTTGATATGTGAAATATGGAAAGAGAAAAAGGTGCCAGATGATTGGAGAGTTGGATTAAAATTCCCTATTATTAAAAAAGGCAGTAAGGGATCAGTGCGCAAATTATTGAGCTGTAACTCTACTGAGAGTCTTGTATAAACTCCCTTCTAGTTTGATTAAGAGATCAACCATAATCAATTATATTAAGAGATCAAAAGACTCTTAAAAATACTAGTAAAAAATGGAGTGCCACATAAATTAATTAATTTAATATGTATGACCAGGGCAAACGCATCATCCAAAGTTGTTAGGGAATAAAGTTGGTCGATTGTTTAAATTACAATCTGGAGTTCATCAAGGAGATGCCTTATCGGCAATCCTATTCAATTTAGCTCTGCATGCTGCTGTGAAAGATGAAGCTAAGAAAAGGAACTATCATTGATAACACACAACAAGTTTTTGCCTGTGGTGATGACCTAGTGGTTGCTGCCAGAAGTGAAAAGGCACTTAAAGAGGCATTTAAAATAATATGCCTCATAAATGAATGGGTGTAGAAAAAAAAATACTAGATGCACACTTCAGTGGGAAGAAGAAAAGAGGAAGGCTGAGGAGCAGGTGGGAGGATAAAGTGGAGAGAAGGACCGAGAAAAGTGAAGAAGAATAACGCAGGAGGCCAAGAGTCATGTTGGCTTTTAGCGCTGGGAAGTTAGTTAGTTATTTGGACTCGGGAGACCTCAAAATGTGTATTTACATTGAAAACTTGGATTTGAAATTGTTCACAATACTATTAAACAAATATTACTAAATAAATTACCTTTTTGTCTTACAATATCATTTTAAATGTTGCAGGTATTTTGGTCATACATTGTAGGAATGTTGACCAATTTGGATTCCCTTCCTCCAGAAAGAATCCATCAAATGTTAAAGATGTTTGCTGCTCAGGGACCCACAGGCGTTGACTGTAGCCTGCAGCAACTGAAGCACTTCCTCGACAGGAAGGTCAGAGAACACAAGCTCCTCTTTTCAGGGGGATATTACAAATTGCCAAAATAGCATTTCTTTTAAAGGGTACAATGCCCTTGATAACTGAGAAAAAAAAGTTTTCTTAAGCATTCTTTCTTTTGTTTATTGTAAAATAAAGTATATATTAATTTAGGAGAACATTTGATATTTCCATAAGATTAATTTAAAAAACAAAACATTAATTAGGAATTTATCGATATGTCAATTTGTATACTATCTACACACAAGTTTTGCTGTAGATTGTCTGGTAAAAGCTTTTTAACTTTTTTGTTGTAAATAAATTTGTACATTATGTAAATATTTGTTTTTAAAATGTAAATTAGATAAGTTAGTTTCTTCAGCTATTTATTGTTCTTGCTTGAACTTTACATTTGTATTTATTATTTTTACTCATTTATACTTTATTTTAAATGTAAAATGAGCTGACTACATTTTTTTATTATTATTGTAAATAATTTAAAATAATTACTTCATTGATTCATTCAACTTTTTATAAAATAAATTAATGTTAGCCTTTCTTCACTCCAAAGCAAATTTGGTTGATAGAAGTAACCCTTTGACTAATAGTATCATAATAGTAAGAATTATATATTTACCGAAAACTTGATGTGAGAATAAACAGAATAATAAGTTTTTGTTCTTTTTTTAAAGCTAATGTTTCTGACTACGCATATGTGCCAATTTTAGAACTACAACATAAGTCATGGAGCCACCTGCATTATTTTCCCTGAATCAGCATTTCTAAAGCTATATATCTTTCATCCACTGGCCTCTGATTGGTTATATCTGTTGGTCACATATTATATTCTGATTTTTTCTTTATTAATTGTTAGTTATCATTGTGTTTGTAATTATGGTTTTGTTGGAAATGGAACTTAACCTACCTAGCCCAGTAAATTGATACAAAAAACAGGATCGATTACAAAATAATTAATAATTTGCTGTTAATATGGGGATTAATTACACTTCAAATCTAGCCTAAGGTCGATGCATGTAAAGATAAAAATGGAAAAATATTAGAAAAAAACATGGTAATTTACAGATGGGAGGAACATTTCAATAATTTTCTGAATGTAAGAAGCATAGACCCTGACGAGACACTGGAGCTAGAAAACTTATCTGATTTAGAACCGCTCTCAATTGAGGAAGTGGTAGAATCAATTAACAAATTAAAAAATGACAAAGCTCATGTAGAAGGTCTTCTGACTGCGGAATTCTTTAAAAAAGGTGAAGAGGAGCTAAACAATCAATTATACTTGCTAATTGAGGATATATAGAACAAAGAATGCATGCCAGCAGAGTTGAAAACATGTTTAATCTACCCAATACCCAATAGCTCTGCGAAAATTACAGAGGAATATCGCTCTTAGGAGTAGCGTACAAAATATTCTCCAACATATTGGTTCAGAGATTAAATGAGTTTGCCAAGAATGTTCTACAGGAATACCAATGCGGATTCCGCAAGGGCAGGGGAACGATGGATCAGATCTTTGTAATGAGACAATTAATGGAAAAGTGCGGGGAGTATAAAACTGACCTTCACATGCTGTTTATAGACTACCGCAATAACATGATACGTGCTTTAGGAGATTCCGATGTTCCAAACAAACTAATTCTCTTGATACAAATATCTATAGACAGCAGTAATGCTAAAGTGTGTATTAATGGTACACTTATGCGCTATCTGCTACACTATTTAACCTTGCACTACATAGTGTGATTATGAAGTTAAACTCCAATGGGGATATACTGCGTCCATCCACTGAAATATGTGCATACGCTGATGATGTTTGTCTCTTATCTATTTGTTCAAGCTGTTGAAGGTGGAAGGTGAAGTGCTTGGTTTAGAAATCAATGGAAGCGAAACCAAGTCCATGTTTGTTAGTGATTTAAGAGCTAGAGTAGATCTATGCGTTGAAGGTTTTTCTTTTGAAAATATTAAATTCTTCTCCTATGTTTGTGTAGAGCTTAATTGCACAAATGAAATATCAGCAGAAGTGAATAGACGGATTATGGCAGGTAACCGGACTTATTACACAAACATAAAACTCTTCTGCTCATCACTGTTGTCATGAACGACAAAAATAAGATTGTGTAAAGTATTGGTAAGACCAGTAGTGACATATTCTGAAACTAGGACCCTTTGCACTCCCACGATAAATGCGTTAGAGGTTTCCGAGAGGAAAATTATCTGTAAAATTTATGGACCTGTATTGAAAGAGGGTGAATGGAGAATCCGGAAGAACAGTGAACTATACGAGCTATATGGATCTTTTAACATTGGCCGCTTCATACGAGCAAGGAGAATTGAATGGTTGGGTCACGTAACTTGGATAAATGAAGTGAGGATGAAAAAAAGAAGAGAAAGATGTATGGCACCAGAAGGAGAGGACGATCTCGGAGATGTTGGATTCAGGATGTGGAAAGGGACCTGGAAAATCTTGGTATAAGAATTTGGAAGAGGAGAGCGTTGTGCAGAGAGGACTGGTGCAATGCTGTCAGGGAAGTCAAGGCCCACCCCGGGCTGTAGAGCTACGTAGTAAGTAAGTTACGCTTTGAATGCAGAACATACCATGAAAAGTCTCAATTTCCAGCTTCTATCCGAAATGGTGGGTCAAAGATGGATACCCAGCACTTTATGTCTTATATATTTTTCCTCATATCTCAATCAAAAGTCAAAAGGCATTGTTTTTTAATACCATTGAGGTTCACATTATGAAAAATGATAAATGAGCTGTAAATAGATATATTTGATGTGAAAAAGATAAATTTTTCAGATTCTAATTCTGTCACCCCTCATAACTTTTAAACTATTGGTAAATCAAAATTAGTGTTTCCCATGTTTTTGATGTCCAAAGCAAGAGGGATGTTTTATTAATTTTTTTTAATATTTGCTGAAAAATAGTGAAGATATGTTATTTTGAATAAAATGGTCATGGTCTTATTGGTGAATTTCATCATGGACATTTAGGACTGGATTGGTAGTTATGATTGTTCCTAACTTTCTTTGACAGCTTTGACTGAGTTAGCTCAGAAATTGATCAAATTCTAAAACACTTCAATTTTTCCCACTCCTCAAAATTCTATTTTTATTAAGGTTTTTGTTTAGAAAAACAAGTCACTCTAACATCTTATTTCAATTTCATATATTTTTTCGAGCCTGTGTCTGAATAGCATAGATCAAAAACAAAAAGTTAAAGATAAAGAGATGCTACAGTTACTTTTTTTTCTTCATTATTTTTCCTCCCTTGTATTTTATGTATTTACTCTAATTCAATATTGTTTTCTTTTTAGTTAAAATTTATCTGATAATTACAAGACATTTGAGTTGCAGTTTTATTTATTTAACTTATAAATCTAATTTTTTTCAAATTCTATATTTGTTTCACCAAGGATACCAAATCTCCGAAGGGTGATGGCTCATTCCCTCCTTCCAAAACATTTAATTGCTCTCCTCTTATTAACAACTGTGCAAGTGAAAGTAGATTTATTAAAATTGTTGCTTCTTTACAACTATACTTGATGTTTTCAGTTTCATGATTTTTCCCTCATTCCATCGTTTCAAATGTCTCTCAGGTTGGAATCTCACAAATTTAAAACATTCTATAAAAACAAAATTCCGTTTGCACTAGAAAGTTCAGTTATCCACAGCATTATTAAATTAGTAAGAAATGGTATGATTAGATAGCAATCCCTCCTATACAGTAGTGAATCCAAAACTTTTTTTTTTTTTTCTTTGCAATAATGATAATTATAATTATATTCATCCCAACTCTCTCGTTTCTAATCTTGCTTCCTCTTCAATTCCTGATAACCCTCTGAGGTGTCTGAAAAGAAGATGGCCCTGTGATCTCCTAATGTAGACATATCATTAGAGCAAGTGTTTTCACGACATTATATCCATATGTTCAAATTTACTAAATGTATTTCATTAATACAGTTTTAAATATCATTAAGAAAAAAAAATAACAAAAAAGTTTGTAAAGCAGTCCATGGTGCCAGATTCTGTCAAATACTTGAGTAACATCCAGCAATATGCCAGTTGCATATAATCTATCTTCTAACGCAATTGAAATGTAGTCCATGACTCTGTGTAGTTAGTGTTTGGTTAATTTTAGTGAATGGAATCTAAATTGGTATTCAGGTAGTTATAATATCTAAATTACGACAATTGCTAAATACTTCAAAAAAATCCATAAAGCATTTCCATTATCATTGATAATAAATGGTTAAACTGATCAACAATCTAATTTTGAATTATTTTTTAATTTTTTTTTTGTCCCTTTGGCACCAGGATTTAAACTCGTAATGTTCGGTTCATCTGGTTGTCAGGTAACGCGTATTATATATACCCTTAGCCCGTTCGGCTTCTCTGCCCTCATGATTTACAGATCTTCCAAATAATAGTTTGTGCCAATGTTAGCTATTTAAATTGAAATAATAATAAAAACGTGTTCAATATTCTTCTCCCTGAACTAAATTGGACACCAATTGGGTATGTCCTGTCTCTATCTAGTCACTTTAGCCAACCAATAGTGTGCGCACTAATTTGAGGAGACATTTATTTATTTAAGCAGGGTGGTAGTGAGTAAAACAGTAAACCAGATTTTTTACCTTCACTTAAGGACGCCCAGAAGGGAATTTGATGGTGCCGTAAGTACGAGTTTGCGTCCCGGTGCCTGTAGGGTTTTTAACTGTGTCATTAATCCCCTGTCCTCAACCCCTTGCCCGAGCAAGTCCCGTGTAGGCGAGTCTAAAAGGTGAGGAAGGAGAGAACAAAAAATAAAATAAAAAAATAACGCACCATAAACATTTTTGAGGGAGGCATATTTTGGCGGGTTTTTGAATTTTCGAGGGGGGCACATTTTGGCAGGGTTTTCGGAATGAAAAGTTTCATACTAAGGAACAAGAGAAAAACATGGGAAAACAGACCGCAGCAAGTGTAATTGTGTATGAAATATAATTTTTCTAATTCTACCTTAGCTTGCTCTATTTTTAAGAAAAGGTGAATATCCTGAGGGAGGGATTCTTGCGCTATCAATCTTGAGGGGAGGGGGATGGGCACCCCTGCCTTCACTACTTATATTTATTTATTTTCCACCTTCCTCAGTATGTGGAGCCCTTCCTTGTGGCATATGTTACAATGAAGTGGAGCATGCCTGTTGTGGAAGTAAAATAAATAAATATGTCTATATTCACAATAAATTTTGCTTTTATTAATTACAATTTCATACATTTTTCTAGCCATAAAATATATAATACTCATTTGCCAGGTTGTAATGGAAATATATTTTGAGTGATATATTTTTGCTTCAAATAAAAGATATAATTTTCTCACTTCCATCTTTATTTTCTTCTTCTTCTTCATTCTTTCCTTTTCCTTTTTTTTTTTTTTGTATTTCTTAAATTAACATACACAGCTAAGATTATAACTTAATAACTAACATACATTCATTCATATTTATATATATATATATATTCTTTTCTGTTTGCTAATAACTATAATATCCTTAAATTAGAGACCCATTAGCACAAAATGTAACATTTGTAGGCATCTAGGAAAGTATTTGAAACTATATAGTTTATTGCAAAATTTATCTGCTGTCTGCACATCCTGTGTTGGTTATATGTATTGTGATATATATATACAAAAGATTGTAATACCATTGATTTTTCATAATATAATCATGACTCCATTCCACATATTTACATGTTCACTTTCTTTGATACACTTACATTCTAGGAAAATAATTTCTCACTATATATAAAATAAGGTCTTCTACATTGGTATTTATATAATAACAAATATAGTCTTTGATATCATCATCAACAACAAACAAATGTACAAATTTGAAGAAAATAACTAATATACAGATAACTAAAATTTAACCTAATGCAGGTAAACCTAAAATAATAACAACTTCTTGATTTATCCTAGATATGTACAGTCGGTTAAGGTCAATGTGTATTTGAAGGGAATACAACCTTGTAATACTTTTGTGGTTTACAAACTTAATTCTACACTTACAAATCTATTTATTATTTAAACATTTAAAAAACCTCTTTTTTTGCATAAAGGAGGTAACTTTTAGCTTTATGGCATCTTTTCAGAGAAAAATTGTACTTTAATATCATCTAAAATACAGATTCTTAGGTCAAGATCAGTGGGTCAGAAGGAAGAAAAAGAAGATTACCCAAAAATTGTCCATAAAACATTTATTACATTCATTATTTTATCAGATCTTGATGATACATTTATGAAACAACATAATGGGCTCTTAGTGAGATGCATGATTGTAGGTATAATGCCTGCAATCATTGTAAGAATAATAAAAAAAAAAATTATAACAGATCTTATACACATGTGGTTTGTAAGAATTGTAATTGTAGAATTGCTTCATTTTCTCAAATTAATTATCTTACTTATTTAAAAAAAAAATCTTAACTTAATGAGTCCAATATATTTATCTGATCTAAAAAATTTCTTTATTAACATGAAATTATGAATTTTATTTTGGTGTTTATGAAACAGGCTGTATTAGTGGCATCCATTGACTATTAATTATATGTATATATATTATTGTAATTTGAAAGAAAAGTTCTATGTAGGATAACAGGACCTCTATGAGACCGGAACCTTGACACATGGAGGAGAAGGAAAATAAAGAACTGCTGAAAGAAACGGGTCAGTCAATATCTCATGACATGAAGGCAATGAGGTTAAGATGGGCTGGGCATGTAGCTCGTGGCAATCCATCAGGCCTTTACATGACAATGAATGCCAGAGTAGTAGACAAGAGACCATGTGGGAGGCCAAAAACCAGATGGATAGATAGTATAAAAAAAGATATGGCTGAGCTTCATGCCGCAAACTGGAAAGCAGTAGCCCAAGATAGGCAGAGGTGAAGAAGGTGGCCAAAGATCTACAAGGTCTGTAGAGCCAACCAAAAAAATAAAATATATATATATAATTGTATAAACGATATATTCATAATTCTAAAGTATAATATAATTTTCTAGATGGTTGATAATTCAAGAAGCATTTCTGAAAACTAAAGTCAGGAATAGTTATTAATTAAACATTTTATTTCATTATTTACAGAAACAATTTTAATTTATTTCATTTAGGGCAAGCGAATACAATTTTCCATTTATTGTCCACATTTGGGGTCTTGCTCAACTTGAGGACCTTAATAACCACTATTAAGTATTATCTGTAGCTCCTTGTTAGTTATTTCTATATCAAAATTTAAAATTAATATGTAAACTAAATATGAATATTAAATGTTGATAACAAAGTTTTTTGGAAAGGACTGAGTAATGCTCAGTTATTGCTTTTAAGCCAACATGCATGAAGGTCTTACAATCTTAATAGTTGAAATATCCCTTGTAGTATTAATGATTGAACAATATTATTTTAGTCAAAAAAACCTTTAATACAGCCTGATTAATAGAACATTTATTTGATGTGGATCATTTTAGTGGAGAAATGAGTCCTTAAAAATTTTAAATGAATCTTTGAAAAAATTATTGCTGTGAAAGAAGACTATAAAGAAGCTTACAATCCTCCAGACTAGTCTATTACAGTTTCTGCTAAAAGGATCGTCCTGTATTTTTTTATTGGAGTGTCGAGATAGAACAGTTCAACCGGGTTAAATATAATAAGGAAGCGATTGGAAGAGGCACTCGTTTAGCAAGTTAGAAAAAAATGCTTATATACAAAGACAGTCAAGCGCGCACAAAATTTTATATTACGGCTCTTGCCCATATTAAATATCATACGAAATGCAAATGGTACGCCTATTGCTAGTGAGATGCGGCAACCAATCATAAAAACTTTTACATTGTAAAAAATTAAAACAATATCAAACTTATTTTTATAGTTTTACTTACATAAGCTTAGGATTTGTTTAATTATAAACACAATTAACTCTATCAACTATCTTAGATCCCATATTTTATAATACAAAAGTCAGTAATTAAAACTAACATTGTGAACCCTAAAACCAGCATTTTCTTGTTTAAATTAACACATTTATAAAGCTATTCTATGCAAGGGGTTGCTCTTTCATGCAAACAATTATACGGAACCCTGGAGAACTTGGCAATCTTCTCTTTTCATTATACCTTTGGTTTTAATGCTAGAAATATACTTGGTCAATCCAGATTGTGTAAACTTGATTTAATAAGTAATATATACTATAATAAAGTCGACTGTTCTAATCCAAGGTTCAGTACTGACTATTATTTCTCTAAAAGGAAAACGTACATGTATTGTCCATCTGTTTAGGGCTATGTCAGTTCTTATTTTTCTTTTATTTACTCAATAAAGTTACAAGAATATATTATTTAATATATAAATAATTAATATACACTTTTCGTTTGACCAATCCAGCTTTTCTTCAACATTTTCATGCTCAAATTAAAGTTGAAATTTTATTTACGACTCATAAAAATATTTAACTTTATAAAATATTTATGACATTTATTGACAGAATATTTGTATTTTAATGTGCGTTCAATGTAGTTTATTTATCAGAGCTGAGGAAAATTAGTAATAAACGATACATTACATATTACAACTTGTTTATAATTTACACAATACAAAGCAGACTTTATCTATGACATCAATTACTGATAAACTATTCTACTGCCTTTATTGTACCACATGTGGGAAAAGTTATTTATATAAGACCTTATTTAATAGTCAAAGAGGCAGATCTATATTTTCTGAATTAGTTAAGTTTGAATTATTATATTATTTAATAATGTACAAACAAAAGATATCAGTCAATTATGAACTAAGAATGTATTTTTAAGCTTTGAACAAACAGTTGGTAATTAATGTACATGTAGAACTTTAAAAATTTATTAGGGATGGTCATTATTATTTTATTATGTTACTTAGTCATTATTATTTAAGTGTAATGGATTTTTATTCAACTTGTACTTTGAGTATTTTATTGAACAAAAACCCAGTCTCTTACTATAAATCAACTCTTTAAAAGTTCTTCGAAGAAAATATCTTAAATGACTTCCCAGTATACCAATAAATTGTAGATAAAAGAAAAAAAAAAACATTCTTAAGCTATCTAAATATTTATATAATATCTCAGGCTATAACCGTTGAAGAATGCTTTTTCATTTTATTAAGAGATGGACTAGTATCTCTTCTTTAATGTCATCTCTAGCAGCCAACAGAAATTTCCATATCTTATCCAAGCTTAAGTGTTACCATAGTTTAAAATTATTTTAGTAACATCCATATAAATTTTTAAATTCTTTATGAGGCCATTTTGTTGCAACGACTTTGTTCAATTATTTTTTTTTTTTATGATAGAGTAGATAAAATTCCATAGTCTAATTAATATTTCAGTATTGCTTGCTGCGATTGTATGCTGTTTCATAGTCCTTAAAATTATACAAAATGACTTATCTTCACTTAACAGATACCAATATTTAATTTATGAATAGTCATACTTAATCTAATAGTAAATTAATGTATTTATACTTTAAACTTTTATGCTTATATCTAGTAAATTATATTGGATAAATCTATTGTCTAGCCACATGAAAACTGACTTAATAAGTAGTCATCAATAATATTATAATACAAAAATACGACTGTACAAAGGAAGTTGATAGAAAATGCTTCAATAAATTATTGATTCCTTATCCACTGTCGGAATCACTGTCAGATGCTGGAGGTGGGGCCGCCGGTTGTGGTTGTGGGCGGGGTTCTTCCGTTATTGGTGCTGGTTTTGTAACTGTAGCTGCTATGTAGTCTCCAGGCCCTTCTCCATGAGTGTGCTCTATTTCAACTCTGGAAATTTGTTTTCTGAGTTAATTTCTTGTGAATTGAATGTATAAATGTGTGTTTTTGTATATATATATATATATATTTAATTTAATTTTTAAAATTAAAATATTTTACAACTTATGGTATTTATAATAGATACAATTAAAATCATACAGTTTTTAGTTATTCAGGTTCTCCAATAAATAAATAAAAAATCTGATTTGGTGCCCCCATCACACAGCTTTCACTTACCTACTTTAGAGTAGATAGTTATTTTGATATATAGGGAATTCAAAGTTAAAACGATGGTATAACTTCATTATTTAAAAAAATTAATTATCACGTTTTTCCTGCTCATCGAATTTGTTAAATTTATTAGTTTGCATCACTTTTTATTTCCTTTTATCACTGTGAATAGTACCAAAAAATACTAATGATTGTTTATATATTGTTGATTTGACTACTTAACGTTAATAAATATTGTGTATATATTTTTAGGTATATATTAGTACATTTTAAACATTTCGTGTGAAAACCTTTTTAGAAAGTTATGGATAAGTGATATATAAAAGTTAAATTAACAGTATGAAAGCCCTGTACAGATGGGTTTGAGGTATCTATAAAGGTAGAGGATCCACAAAGGCCAACTGTTTCTGTAGAACTTCCAACCCTTATTTCTTAGTTACCAATCAATATCTTCATTATTATATTTATCAAATTTTTACATCAGTTTACGATGTGAATGGTTAATTAATAAAAAAAATTAAAGATACTTTAGAGGAAGATGTATATGAACAGTAGGCAGTTAAGCACTGTAAAGTGACATCAATGGGGAAAAAACCTAAATGATATTAAAGACCACTTAATTATACAATGTTAAACTGAGTTTAATCAAAATCGTAAGAGCCGTTTTTGAGAAAATTGTAAAAATGTGTTTCAGCGTTGATATGAAGTGGCACTTCCGGTTTGCCGATTTTAAGGAATAAGTTGCTGTCACATCTAAGGCATATACCTATCTTAAATACGTAATATCAGTTTCGTACGACTTTTAGTTTTTGAGCTAGATCGCTAACATACATACACACACACACACACACACACACACACACACACCATTTTTCTTGACATGGTTATTTGGATTCAGGGTACCCCAAAACGTGTATTTCCGTTGAAAACTCAAATTCAAAATTTTTCTCGATCGCAATACTTACTCTTACTTTATATTACATATATACGTCAGGGAAAGTAAAAAATATTATCATGTACATTTTTATTAACCTACTGTTAATCCTAATTAAATCCTCTACCCGCTCCCGAAATACCCGTTCCCGGTCTTCAGATTTATATATAATGATCCACCGAACCGCTGCTTTCGATAAATCTTTTATTATTCGATCCTCATTCCTATGGAACTCCAGCCCTCCCGACATCCGTCGCTTCAATACTCTCTCTACTTTTAAATCCCGCCTATTCAACCACTCCCTTTCCATCCAGTCCCTCTAAAATTGTAAATAGAAACTTCTGTAAATATGGATATATGTTATTAGCTTATACCCAATTATTTTCATATCATTGTTCTTTTATTTATTATTTGTTTCTTCTTAATCGATTTAATTTAGAATATATTTTTTTAAAATTATATCTATTAGTTAACTTTGTAAATACATTTATGTATATCTGAGGCTCAAAAGCCCACATTGCTATCCTTGTTAATTATTCTAAAGGAATTCGTCCCAGGATGAATAAAAGATTATTATTATTATTATGTCCAGAAATGCACCCGAACAGTACTGCTAGTTTCCTAGGGCTGCTGAGAATCGGGAGTAGGCTAATTGATCCAAGGATGTTAAACTGTTGAGAAATTTGCTTGGATTTGGGAAAAGGATAATAGTGGAATATTTCCATAATAGAGGAAAGTGGTTGGTATGTACCATGCAGTTTTAGGTATATGTAAGGAATATGACTGATTTGGATGAATGTTTCGAAGGATCTAAGGTGAAAGGAGGTCGTATTCAGGATATCAAATTTGTGAAAAAAAGTGAATTCAAATTTCATTTTGGAAGGATGAATTGATTTTTGAATGAAATGAACTGAAATTCGGTATTAACAGTTGTTTTCTACACATTTTGCACAGCTTTGCAGACCCTCCTAATAAAGTTACTAAGTTAAAATTTTGCATGAGAATTGATTTGGCGTAACTTGGTGTCAACTTCCTCCCTCCCTCCATTTTACATTATTTTCTCGTTTTTTAAATTCTATGCACATCTACAGACCCTATTGATTGGGAATAGAGTTCATCCTCGAGACGTGCCTTTTGGAGGTATGGACATTTTTCTCCACCCCTGCCGTTCTTTAGATTTTACCAATTTTATGGTTTTGCGAAACCTCGCATTTCTGAATTCTGTTAGATGTTTAAAAAAGGGAATTAGAAATGCGTTGGGGTTATTGGTTATGCGTTAGAGAAAATTAGAGATAAGGTTGAGAAGTTTCTGGGGGTCTTAACTTTTTTTTCCTATCTTCTCCATTTTGATAAATTCACTTCTGTTTAGGCAACTTTTCTAATTAAGGCAAATAACTTTCATGCCTTTCAACAAGGCAACATTCTAAATTATGGACAGCATTCTAATTTTATGCAGAGGACTGTATCTTAATGGTTTGGTAGGTTAGCGATTGTGCAAAAAATAGCATACCATCTTTATGCCAACTTACACCATTTGGTTACCTTGAGGGTCCTCAGGTGCCGATGATGTTTCCAGAGTGAATGAGAATGAAGTAGTGACCGAGAAAAACGGCAGGTGGTATGGGTTAAGTGTTATCTCTTGGATCTTCTTATCTGACCCCACCACTCACCTTGACACGGGAAATTCAAACCATTTTTGGCACAAACATATCCCCCACCGTGAAATATCTCATTTCACAAACAAAAAGAAAGGAAAAAAACAAACTCAGAGATTGGTGATTACTAGGCAAGGCACTAACGAGAGGAAAATTGCTTGGCTTACAATGAAGAAAGAGAGAAATTAGGCTAATAAATTACAATTAATTTAAATTAAAATTACTCCTCATGAAATTTAAACAAAAAAGTATTCATATCAATAAAAGGTTTCTTCAGAAGGGAGAGACAATAACTTCTGCACCGGTCGCACCAAAGTGGCTATAGCAGTCCTCAATTTTACAACCATAACTATACTGTCAGGTCATGGAAGTGTCTCTATTATCCTGGCTAGCCGCCACTGCTGCATGGAACATCTTTTTCATGCAGAATTACAAGGGTTCCTTCTTTAAATTTTCCCTGTCAGTATACCACTTGTGAGGCACCAGATTATGGAGGTATTAACATCTCTTATCCAAAAATTACGAAGAGTCTTGGAAATCATCTCCCAACGGCTTGTCAAAGGAAACAAAGGTGCGTCTTTTTCTGGCGTTCTGTTCTGGCTAGGAGGGATTGATCTATAATAAAGTGTCCTGGGGTGAGGTAATCCAGGTTATCTGATGGCTGACAGCTAATGTTGCAGATAGGACGAGAATTGAGAACGGCTTCAACTCGTACAAGAAGAGTATAAAATTCCTCATTGTCAACGCATGATCCTGGAGAACGGCAAGAAGGTGTCTCTTGGCAGATTTAATAGCTGCCTCCTAAATACCACCGAAATGAGGAGATGCTGGAGGAGTAAAGGTCCACTTTATACTCGTCCAACTTAAATAGTTAGAAATGGTTTCACACCGGCCCTTAACAAATTGATAAAGCTCCTTCAACTTCTTGGACTTCTTCTACAGGCTCAACTTCCTCAGGTTTATTTTCCTCATATTCCCCCACTTCTTCTTTTTCAGGTACAAATTCTTCTTCATCTTCACTTATCAGCTTCCTGCTTCCGGTGATGACCTCCTCTTCAGTATCGGAACCGACAACCTAAAGGTAACTCATCTTCTTCCTTTTTGTCCGTTTTAGTGGTTCCCCTTCGTACTCAGAAAGTCCATACCTAATCTTCGGCCTTTTAATTTTTGTTTTCTTAGGTCGGCCTGAATCTGAATCCAGGAGCATCTTCCTCTTCCTTTTTCTACTTTTTGAGGACCTAATCCTACTGTAAGTTTTCCTTTTCCTTCTTTCCCAAGTTGTTTAACCTAACAGAGAAATTTCGTGAAACCTTCGGAGAGAGAGGCCTCTGGTTTGGGTCTCGCGGAACAATTCAAAAAAGAACAAGGAGCTTCTTCGAGGAACTAGGTGTCGACATTAAGAACCTAGCGAGGTTGGCTGAAAATATAGTCCTCGACTCCCTGGAAGTTTGATTTTAATGATGGGAAATCATTAACCACCACGTGCATGGCTAGGCTGAGAGTTTTAATTTATGTATTTATTTAATAAAAAATGTCCATTATATTTGTTTCATATTAAATTTTATTTGATTCTAGATGTATAAAATACACTTTTGTTTTTTGTTATTGTTCTATTATAATTTTAAGCATCTTAATATTGTGTATAGGAGAGGTGTATAAAGAGGGATAAACAGAGAGAAATGAGAGGAATGGAAATTAAATGTTATGAAAAAAAAAAGCATGAACAATGAAAGGAAAAAAAAATTATGTATATATTTATTATACTCATATAAACTAACCACTTCTGTATATTTATATATAAGTTTATCTATTGTCCTACTGATTAAAGAGTATGCTGTGTATATTGTAACCCAATATAATTGGGCAGCAACCTTTTATATTTTATATGAAAATAAAAAATATAAAAGGTTTCTCTCTCGTGCGCAACTTTTATTTCATAAAGTTCCTCCGCCGCTAGAGATGGTGCGTTTACTTCTATTCTATGTTCTTCATCTAATGGTTCATTTAGTACGGAAATCTTGTTCAACACTGCTTCAAATTCATCCAGTTGTCTTTTAATTTCTGAATCCCTAACCATAAAAATTTCCTTTCTATCAGGGAGACCCTTAACCATATCATATGTGGTTTGAATTCGAATAAACATCCTTTCCTTCCTGTCATTTATAGCTTTAAGTCCCTTAGTACCCTTAATCGGCGCCATCTTCAAAGTTGTTGGCAGAAAAACAAATTAAATTCAAATTAAATATTAATTGCTGAAGGCAAAACCTAATTTTATTTTAATTAAAACTTAATTGCTGAAGGTAAAACCCAATTTTATTCAAAATTAAATTTTAATTGCTGAAGGCAAAACTCAATTTTATTCAAATTAAATTCAAACTTCAACAAAGCATGTCTTGTATTCAAAACAATTCAATGTTCAGCAAAGCAGGTCTTTTATTCAAAACAATTTCAAAGTTCAGCAGCAAACAAGCAAGGATTAAGGTAAGTATCAATGAAGTCATCCATGTTCCAGCAAGTCACTATTTGTTCTTTCCTGAATATTCCTGGAAACTCATCTGGAAACTGCTTGACTTCTCCAAATACGTAACGAAAACATTACATCTATTAGTTAAGATATATTTTTGAAAAACGTGGTTAATAGGCGTAATACGAATATTAGCGCGGAAATATATAATTTTTACAAACAAAATAATTTTTATTACTCTGGCGCTCCCAAATACGCAACAAAGCAATAAACGACGTAAGTTACATTAGTCAGGAATATTAGCCAGAAATACAATATTAGCCAGGAAATATACGATATTTATACAACCTCTCATAACCTACCAGGCAATTTTTCTCTTTTACGTACGGCAAAACATCGCTAATATAGAAAAAAAAACTATTTAATCCGGCCCGGAGGACCAAAAGGTTTAGGCAACTTTTCTGATTAAGGCAAATAACTCTCATGAGTTTTAATATGGCAGCATTCAAAATTATGGGCAACATTCTAATTTTATGCAGTGGACTGTATCTTAATGGATTGGTAAGTTATGCTGATTGTGCAAAAAATAGCTTACCGTCTTTATGCCAGCTTACATCGTTTGGTTACCTTGAGGGCCCTCAGTTGCCGATGGTGTTTCCAGAGCGACTGCCAATGAAGAAGTGACCGAGAAAAACGGCAGCTGGTACGGATTAAGTTTTATCTCTTAGATCTTCTGATCTGACCCCACCAGTCGCCGTAACGCGGGAAATTCAAACCATTTTTGGCACCAAAAACTTCGGTAACAATTTATAAAATTTACAAAACAAAATATGTGAAAAATCCAGCAGCTCAATTTTAAAATTCTAATCAATATACTCAGTTGAGTATTAATTAAATAACTTTTTTCCTGTTTACCAAACAAAAATAAGAAGGAAATTTGACCTGAGTGACTAAACAATGCAGCAGACTTATTTTTTTGTTGGCACATATTTGGATTTTACCTGTATTCATGCCTGGACAGGTGACGGACATACTTCTCAGGCGGCGAATCACTGTCGCTGTTCTGTATGGACACAGATCTGACAGTAGTGTGAGAGACAGTCGTAGCTGGCATTGTGAACTCAACATAAGCGTAGTTGGCCAACTCGTCGGGAACCTGATCATACGAGGTAAGCTGCAACCTCACCACTAAGTTATGTGTTGTATACGCTCCTAAAAATAAAATGTTATCATAATTGCAATTAAATGAAGCCATTTAACGAGGAGTTTTTTATGTATAAATTTAATCTTGCTGATCCTTTATATATCTTTACAACAAATTAAAATATTTCTTATTTTTTAAACTAAATTCTGAACTTAACATAAAGGTAAATTACACATTAATGATCAAAATCACAAATATTTTAAGTGTAAATTTTATTCTTTCAAGTAAAAACATGTTAAAGCATTGACCATATTCTGACATCCCTATGTTTTTTTTTACATTTATTGGTTTATTTGTATATGTATTTGATTTTTATTTAAAATTCAAGTGTATACTTGAATTAGCTATTGTTCATAAGAACATAATTTCAATCCTTAGCTATATTGTTCCAACATGTGTGATATTAACTGTCGATGTGTTAGACCTTTATTGGATTATATTTTAATAAAATATATCTTTGCTACAGTTTATAGATTTATGAATACATATTTGGAACAGTTTATAACTATGATTTTTCTAATTTTCAATTTCAGTTTGTTTAGATGATTTTTCGAATGTGATCATGGGCGCCGGAATTTACTAATCATTGATTTAGTTTAAAACTATAACAATGTTGAATGGATGAAAGGAGAAGGAGAGATAGAAAGTCATACATGAAGGAGGAGCTCAGTAATCAGTTTATTACTAGAGCCTACTTCAAACTGTGAAAATCTTGGTAAAATATTTTACTCAAGGAGTCACTTTAAAACCATGAGATTTTCACAATAAAATGGACAAAAAAATATTATAATAAAATGTTATCATACACAACAGATAAGAAACAAGTTGAATTGTAATTTTTTAAATTAATGTAATTAGGAATTTTGTTGCAACTGTTGAAGTTGTTAGGAAATTTCAGATTCTTCCCTCCATCCATATTCCCTCTGGGGTGGTCGAGCATGTTAAGGCGCCTTCGAAAATTCACTGTGTACCCAACAAGGTAGAAAAAATTAAGATAAACCTCAGTATCGTTCCATCATCTGAGTAGTGGTTCGAATTTAATATTGATTTCATGTTTTTCCTGTTTTTGAGAGATTGGGTTGGAAAAAAAAACTCTATACAAAGAGGATTTTCATTTCGATTTTTATCGGAGCCTAAAAAGTTTAAATTAAATAAAAGTATAGGGATAAATAAAGTGCAGGAATCATTTAATGGATATTCTGCTTAAAAAAATCAACAATATGGCCTCGGTGTTGAAACGGTTGAATGGTTTTTGGTACATAAAAGTAACGCATAATGGATTCATGTAAAGCCGAGCCACGTTATTATTTCTATATTAAAATATGAGATTGTATACATTTTACTTTCATTTCGATTATCAGTGTTACCTTGTCCCTCTTTTGGCAAGCGAGGCATTCTCCAAACGATAGATCGATGCTGATGTTCGTATTTTGCAACTCCTGATGTAGCTTCCATCAAAGATGCCTCCAAATTATCCACTGCTCCAAGAAACCTTTCAATGCCTTTTACCTTTCCTGTCCTATAAAGTTTAAATTACAGTTTAATAAATTTTATACGAATTTTACATTTTGATTGGTGAAATGAAAATTTTAATTATTACCTATAGTAATAGACCATCAATAGCCTAGGCATCAAATAACACTATGCTAAATAAGACTAGGCTTATTTTTAATTATCTGGATTGAATAAACTTTTAAAAAATATTGTTAAATTTAATTAGCAGGAAGTATTGTTCTGAATCATAAATATACTGAGAGGAAACAAAAGTAAATGTTCTGGTTTTAGATCGACTTGAAATTAATAACACCACCATAAATATTAAAGATCATAAAAAAAATTTAGATTGCTGGAAAATAAGTAGCAATAATTAGAAATAATAAATAATAAGTAGTAAGTATTAAAAATAATATAATTTGTTGTTGACTTTTTTTTTTTTTCCACTCTTTGCAACACACTAGCCTGCATAATAAAACGTTGCTGCAAATGAATCTCATAACATTATTATGGATAGCTGTGCACATAGCCTGTTTTAATATATACTTCAGTTTGGCCACCGGCTTTTTCTTCTTTTCGGTTCGGCGGTCGTCCTGATATGGTCGCTTCTCTTCTATCCAAGAAGAAGTTCGTTGGACCTACAACTCCGCCAGAATGGAGATCCCAGTGCTTCATAAATGATGCAAGATACAAAGATGTGCTCAGCGGTTTCTGGTTCGCCACTATTGGTTATGAGGTCTCGATGCTATACCATATGGTTTGTTATACAATATCATATCGTTTAGACGGAGAGGAACCGTCTTTTCTAGACAAGATCCCAATTATCGTTTTTTTTAGTATTTTGCCGGAGGAGGTCTTCCCGCAGGAGGAGCTCTAAAGAAATAATTCCTAAGAGCGTGCTTCATGAGACAACGTCATGTATGACATGGTTACCCGAAACCGTTCAATTCGCTTGATCGTCGCCAACATGCTCTTCTGTCGGTGGGAGACTCTAGTTCCAGACAACGGACGTGTATCTATACCACTCCTTTGTAAATAGCCATTGCTGCTTGATGTATAAGGTCTTGAAAACATTAAGAGCTGTGGTTTCCTTCCATATTAAATAATCCAAGTGAGGCGTCGCTTTGAATTTTTTTCTGATCCTAATTCCAAGATAGGTCCACCTCACTCGGACAAACACTTGATCCTTGTATGTCTACAGTTAAAGGGTGAACCCTATCAGTCCTGCCTCTCAAGAAGAAAGCCTGAATCTTGCAACCTGCCGTTCTTAACTTGTTTCTCTCTCACCATTCTCCTACCAGGTTGGTGCATCGCTCAGCATTATATCTTAATCTGACCCTGCTAAATAACAGCTACGTAAGCTTTTGCGGAAAATCGCTCTTCTTCTAGCATCCCCGCCAGCTCGTCAAAGGCCAATTTCCACAAAGCAGTTTACGGATAGAGCCCTGCGGACAGCAACTCTCCATTTGGAGTAAGGTGGCCGAGCAGGCTCACGAGTGTGCACAGCACCGAGTGTAGTCCAGAATGGGTTAGTTTGTTTTATTTGCATTTTGGAGACTCAAGGCTTTGTAATTGAATTTATCCAATTATAATCAAATATTTAATTTTGAGTTTTTGCTCTGACATACTAATATTAAATAAAACATTTAGATGTGAGGCAATTTAGAAAAACACTATAAAAACCTATTTTTTTTTCCTCATTTCTGCCTATCCGATAAAGGTCTAGTTAACTAGACGATCCTGCCCCATCACGTTCCTTATCTAACTGTTCATACAATTTAATGACAATATTTTTTTTTTTACCAGCCTATCCTTACAAGTATTTATGTTACTTCAATACAGTTAGTAATGATTAATGGTCATTACATTTATAAGAATATTTCTGCGTTTGTGAAACACTACTATGATGAAATTTCCAAATCTTGAAATTGAAATTCCAGAGCTTAAGGCTTTTCATTTTTCGTTCTTACTTTTTCTGAGCTCAATGACTTTCTTTTAAGTTATTTTCATAAGCACTGACAAAATTTGACAAACGCCTAACCAGGACAAGGGAGTACATTAATTTAAGATTGAGGTAATGTTTGAGGTAATAACGGGAGCTCAGATTGACTAGAGGGGGTCATCCAACCTCACTGGTCTCCATGGTACAGCGGCAGGCCACCCGTAGCTCCATAGCCGATTCCTTTGGGGCCAATCTGGCAATGTCCTTCCCACCGACTTTCTCGGGTTCAAGGACAGTGACAAATCGATATAGATCCACGGATTATGGATGGCTGCTCGGAGTCAGTAGGCGCACGAGGACCTATATTTCTTTCTCCGAAACAGACTGTCCATGGACCCTGGATGGAACCTCAGGGGGGCTATTAACATCCTGGTAAACCACATCCCGATTGATTCCAGATTAAGTACACGGGGTAGGGTCATCAGTCCTACTCCCGGTCGGTGCGAGCTGCCTCCAGTAGGCTGACGGGCCTCACATACCCGGGGGGGGGAGACTCGAGCAGCATGGCTTTCTCTGGTGGATGGTCACCCATCCAAGTACTAACCACGCTCGACGTTGCTTAACTTTGATTATCTATTGCAAGCGAAATAAACTTTTAGGGGCCAGCTAACAGTGCAGGATCTGGTGCATTCTAAGATAAGAACACCTTTGAACATTAAGTGCAATTCTGTTAATCAAAGGAAACTTTAATAGTCAATAACGACTTTAGTTTAAGTTTTATAAACACTTATTTTTATTACTTAACCATCATTATAACTTATTTAGTTACAAATTTTGGACAAATAACATTGGTGTGACATGTCTAACAGCGTCGAAACAGCAATAGAGGAAGGAATGGTAGAAGAACAGATCTTAAAGCATCCAAGGTCTACTGCTAAACGGCTAAGAAAGGGATCCCCTGATTCCCGTGAAGAGTCAGGAAAGGCTAGAATAGAAGATGCTCTGTACCACAGACAGAAATGTAAATCTTAAAGTTCAAAAGTACATTAATAGTAAAGTGCAACAATTGATTGATATCATGGAGACAATTAATGATAAACAATCTATAGTTGAAAAATCAGTACCAATGGTCCTAGAAGGGCTTAAGGCAGCCACTACGACACCACAAGGCCTACCGGTAGCACTAGGTCCATCTCGGGAACTAACAGTAGCTAGAGAGGAATCATTGGCCGACACCCAGGAAGGCATCACAGATACCGAAACCTTCTCCATAGTTAAAAGAAAGCGAAAGAAGAAAAAGTCTACTGTTGTGCCAAAGGAGTGTGGTATTAAACAGAATGTACAGCTAAAAACTTCATCTGAGGCATCAACTAAAAAGAAGACAACTATGGCAGATGTCGTTAAAACTCTGCTATTAAAAGCACCGGATGCTCCAAAACCAACTTACCTGACCATAGTTAGCGAGTCAATGATTTGCCTTCTCCAACAGATCTTGGGATAAATGCCAGAATTGTTCGAGCAACCAAAGCTGGTTCCGTTTTAATTTTACTTGATTGGCAGAAACTTAAAGAAGCTGGGATGGAGGCAAGACTAGCTCAGAAGAGGAAACCTAAGTTGGAACTTAAAGGTGTTCCACGATCATGGACAGCTGAAAATCTGGAAAGGGTAATGTGGGAGATGTTAGCTGAGAAAGCAGTCCCTAAACCTGAGAACAAATCGGGCCATATTAAGCCACTGTTTTCCACAATGGCCAAAAACCAGATCACAAATAATTGGGTGATTGAAGTGAACCCAGTAGTTAGGTATAATCTTCTGAAGGAGGAAATAATAGCTGGGGGTTGGTGGGTATTGAAATTCACTGATTACCCTGATGTTTCTCCATGCCTTCGATGCCAAGGATATGGGCATACTAGGGCCACATGCGAGGCTAATGGTATCATTTGCAAGTGGTGCTCTGCATCTGGCCACATAGCTAAGGATTGTCCTGGAAAAATAAATAAAAAATCCCCGATCTGCATAAATGCGTGAGGGAAGGTAACCCCAGTAACAAAGCTAAGCATCAGAAAGGAAGTCGGGACTGTCCGGTGTATATAAAGAAGTCTCAAGGAGTGGTGAGAAGAACGTTTTATGACTAAAATCACTATCCTCCAGCTAAACATGGGCCGCCGACGAGTTGTGGCTGATGAGCTTCGCGCCCTTTCTAAACGCTATGACATAATGGCGGTCCAGGAACCGACTTGCCGTGGGAACAAGGTCACTGGGTTTGGCCTCACGTCGATTGTTATAGCCCTGAGTAGTGGAGAGAGGAGGCCCAGGGCTGCAATAGTGATCAATAATCCTAACCTCGACGTGATGGATCTGAGACAGCACATCATGGCGGATTATGCATCATGCTATATTAGGTGGGGTAAGATTACCTTCACACTTGTGTTGGCATACCTGCCTGTCAGTGATGATATTGATGAAAGCATATCCGCTATGGAAACGATCATTAGAGAGATGAGGAATGTGATCGTTTGCTCAGATTCCAACTCCTGGAACACGGTCTGGGGTCCAATATTACTGATAGGCGAGGCGCGAAAATGGGAGATTTCATAGCAAGAAATCACCTTGTCGTGATTAATGAATCCTCTGCTACCCCTACCTTTTCTGGAGTCATGGGGCAGAGTTGGATTGATGTCACGATCGCCACGCCTGTGCTTACGAGGTACATCACAGATTGGACTCTCAGGTCTGAAACGAGCTCCGACCACATTGCGATAGCAATCGACCTGGTAGATAAGCCAGGATGTTCCCACGGCATTGATAAAGGTTTTGTTACGAAAATAAGTGACTGGAGTGTCTTCAGGTGCTGTCTGGAAGGATTGTATTAATTGTAGATGAAGAATGGGATGTGATGGAGGTGGACGTAGCTAATGAACTGGATTACAAGGTATCTAGGATCACCAATATCATTCGAGACGCTGCCCTGAAGCACCGGAAAGCATGACCGGTCCCATGGTGGATGCCAGCCTTAACTGTTCTAAAGAGAGACCTCTACAAGGCCCGGCGGTCATATCAGAGGTGCAGATGTGACGAGAGGCGCATTGAACTTTGGAATGAGTATAAATCTAAATCCAGGATATACCGAAACGAGGTTTTCTCACAAAAACGGAAGTCCTGGGATGAGTTCATCATCGAAGAGTCCTCGAAGAAA